TTCCTGAGATCTTGACCGCAGCAATTAATAACTGTTTTGTAAACTTGAAAAAACGTGCTGCAGAGAGAGAGGTTTGGATCAAATAAGGAAATTATTGCACAAACTTAGACGTATTTTCGGGTCGAATATCGTTCTACAAAAAGGGCATCAAATTGTTACAGAAATCAGTATCATAAGGTCGAAGTTTGCCTAAAAGTCAGGAACTTATTGAGTAACGTGATATATATTGCACCCAGGAGAGCTCTAGTTATTTCGTTAAAAATTAGTGCCAATAACTGAATGACGAGCTTCCAGTTGCATATATGAAAATATTTTAATAGCAAATAACAGTTATTAATCTGCAAAGCTATTTTACTATTTTATTTTACCGTTTTTCATGAAAGTTTCCTTCTATTTATAGACTAACTTTGTCGCAGAATCATTTATTAATCCTATTAAGGGATATTCTGTCTTGACGTAAAGCGACTGGGAGGTACACAAACGAAACACATTTGCAAAGCGTTTGACTCCACACATAATGTATTTTAATATGTCGGAGTGTGTGGGCGTTTCTAAGTTAATATAATTATGTATTTTAACATTAATACACAGGGTGAATGTACAAAAAGTAAATGGTGATAGGTTCTTAAGGTACAGATTAGAAGGTTTAAATAAAAAATGCATACATATTTTCAAAAAACATTTTCTCAGCTTTATTAGATACGAACATGAATATTTTTTTATAAATATTATTTTATTTTTAAGGTAAACAAATTTTTTTTTGTTTTCTTGACACTAATTCTCAGGATTGGTACATCTTAAATAAAAAAATCCAAGGGGATTTCTTAAAGAAAGCGCTCTTGCAAGATAATCAACCACTTTTAATCGAAAATTAAAATAAAAAAAAACAAAATGGCGTACATTTGAAAAAAAAAGTTGAAAAAAATTGATTTTTTTACCAATCTTTGCATCTTCTTCTTAAGTGCCATCTCCGCGACGGAGGTTGGCAATCATCATGGCTATTCTGATCTTAAATGCTGCCGCTCTGAATAGTTCGATTGATGTGCATCTGTACCATTCCCTCAAGGTACGCAACCGTGAGATTCCTACACTTCTCCTTCCTACACTTCTCTTGTCCTGGATTTTTCCCTTGTATAATTAATTTAAGTATGTTGTATCTTTCATTATGCATAACATGCCCCAGGTATTGCAGATTTCGTGTCGATGGTTTCCGATATTTCTATTCTTTTGTAGGCTCTTCTCATGACTTCGTTGTTTGTTACATGCTCGGTCCATGATATTTTCAGAATTCTTCTATACACCCATAGTTCAAATGCTTCCAACTTTTTAGTCATCGACGCGTTAAGTGTCCATACTTTTATTCCGTAAAGCAGAGTCGAGAAAATATAACACCTTGTTAGCCTAACTCCAAGTCTAATTTCAGTTCTCTTGCACAAAGTACGTTTCTCATTTTATTGAAGTTTGTTCGTGCTTTCTCTATTCGAACTTTCATTTCTTTGTAGTAATCGTTTGTGTGATTAATTATTGTGTCAAGATAATTGTAGTTTTCAACTTGTTCTAAAGTTTTAGCGTTAATTGTCAGGCTTTCATTATTATTTTGGGTTTTTGATATCCTCATGAATTTAGTTTTCTTGATGTTTATTGATAATCCATATTCTTCTCCATACTCAACTATAGTTTTTGGAGGTCTTGGAGGTTGTCTGCTATTATGATAGTATCGTCCACATATCTAATTTTGTTGATTGGTGTTCCATTGACCTTTATTCCTGCTGTTCCTCCCTCAATAGCTCTTTCCATAATTTCTTCAGAGTATGCATTGAATAGTAGTGGTGACAATACACACCCCTGTCGCACTCCTTTATGTGCCTACTGTTTATAATATAGATTTGTTTTAAGTCGAAGGTCATTGTATTGTAATTGTTTTGCTTTGAGGACATCCACTAGCTCTTTGTGGCGGACTTTATCGAAAGCCTTGTAATCTATGAAACGGACGTACATATCTTGGTTCAAATCCAAGTATCTCTGGATTACTACATTGAATGAAAAGAGAGCTTCACGGGTACCTACGCCTCTATGGAATCCAAATTGGGTTTCTTTAATATCCATATCAAATATTTGGTAAATGCGTTTATGGATGATCTTCAAAAACATTTTAAGTGTGTGAGACATCAGGCTTATGGTTCGGTGATCGGTGCATTCTCTAGCATTTTTTTGAGACAAATAAATGTTGAGGTCAACCATTCATTAGATATGTCACCCGACTGATAAATTTCATTAAAGAGCTTTGAGGACATCCATGTACTCGTTTTCTATTATTTTAAGGATATCAATAAGCAGTTGATCTGGCCGCTGGCTTTTTCCGTTTCTGGTGTTCTTACTTATTTCTCTGTCCTCGAAACATATTTCTTGTAGGTTTTCTCTTTCATCGTCGAAGAGCTCTTCCATATATTCTTTCAATTGTTTTAGATTTTCGTCCGTCGTTATCATAGTACATATTTCCATTTTTATCTAAAAGAGTTGTGTTGTGGTTTCTTTTTTGCAGCCCTGCCATTTCTTTAACCTTTTTATGTACGTTGAATAGGTCGTATTTGTTCTGAGGATCTTCCATCTCTTTACATTTTTCCTCATAGTAAGTTTGTTTTGCCTCTTTTATCATTTTTCTAATTTCATTGTTAATGATTTTGTAATTGTGACTGTTTTTGTTTTTGGCTTGTCTTTGGTCTATCCCGCCGAGTATTTCGTCGGTCATCCAGTTGTCTCTCTTTCTTGTCGTTTCTTTTAATATCTCTTTGCATTGAACGAGGAGGCACGTTTTTAATGTTTCCCATTGTTGGTTTATCTCGTAGGTGTTTGCATGCCAAAATTAATTTTTAGACTTTTTTTTCTAAAAAGCTGTTAGTTGTCTTGGTTCTTTGTTCAAGTAATCCCGTAGGAATTTTTTGTTTCATATGTGCCAATTCTCAGAATTAATGAGACGTTGCCCGAGGCGCCCTCTTAAAACCCTCTAGCGCCTTCCTTTTTGTTCACGAGAACTAAAAAAAAATTAATTTAAAGGTAAAATAATATTTAAAAATCATGTTAGATTCTAATATGTATTTCAGTTCGTAACTAATAAAGTTGCTAAGATTTTTTTTGAATATGCATTTTTTTACCTTCTCATCTGTACTAGTGCCTTAAACTATTTTCAAGAATGATCTTCGACTTCCCAGACCATCCCTTTCTTGGCCTTAGACCTTCTTCCTATCTATAATATTTTTATGTTATATTACTTATATCTTAATTTATTTCTTTTATCGTGTTATGTTTTTCCCTCTTATCATTTAAACTAATAATAGTCTTTCTTTATACGTCTAGTGCAAGTTAGGAGAGTATAGAAGGTTAGTCTGTTATTTCTTTGATCTACGATAAAAATGCCGCCAGTGATATTAAAAAAATACATTGTTGTTTTGTATCAAAAAGTATCCCACCAAAAAAAATTTTTTACACCCCTAAACCCAAACATAACCTTGAAAAAATTAAAACGTGTTTTTTCGTTTTTTGATGATATCTTCGGTTCTAATCATGGTAGAAACTCATTCTTTTTTTTTTTCAATTTGTGGGATATTTTATTGTCTACGTCATAGTCCCGCCACCCTATTCCAAAAATAAAAATACCATGTTCTACATCAAAAAGACTAGAACAAAAAAAATTTAGACCCCTAGACCCAAAAGGGACCCAAATAGTACTAAGGCATTTATTTCTGCTATATTCATAATATCAAAGAAAATAGTTAAAGGCCATCTCATACTGTTTCTATCGACATAGGAACCGCACATTTGATCTACAACATCGACCCCGAACTTAAAATGATTGTAGTCCACTACGGTTGTTGGTTTGCCATTATCCTTTTCTATGTTGTCATCTGTATGGCTTGTGGATAGGACAAGGTCATTTTTCTTCTTCCTTGGGACAAAATATACAAGCGTGCAGTCTTTATGAAATGCAAGTTGAATACTGAAGTCTGGTCTTTTGGTGGTATTTTTATGAATTCTCTAGGTATGTCTCACTTATTTTTATTTACTGTTTCGATAGTTAGCTTATCTGAGTGATACAGTATGTGAGATACCGAATGCGTATGCCAGATACAGAAGAAACATTACGTTAAATGAACGCTTTCAGACACAAATTCTGTATCTCGCATACAGTATCTCAGATACAGTATCCTCGTCTGAAAGGGGAGTTAGTTATATTGCTAGTGAGAAGCTAGAAAACCAGTTGTAAGACATCATGCAATATGTGGCGTCCATCCTAGTACCGTCTGTTCTCCAAAATTTTTATGTTTTTTTGTGCCTGATTTACTAACTTTTAGAAGGTATAACATTCCAAATAGAGCTCTTATTTCACACTGAGCAGTTTGTTTAGCATTTCATTCACGATTGCACCTGGGCTTTACATTTTCAATGTATATATTTGTAGAATCAGTTACCATTTCCACGATGTTGTTGCTAATAAAAATTTTAAAACATTCTCTTACGGTTTTGGAATTTGCTGCATCATCTATGAGCCCAGGTCTTTTTTTGATATACTCTAGCTCTTGTTTGTGATAGACAAATTTTTCTGCAGCGGGTTGCACGTTCTTTCCCAACATAACAGGGAACTTCATCATGGTCGTAACATACTCATAACTTACTCGACAATATTTTCCTACTCGCCATCTTTTTCTGGATCAGTGTTGTGAACACTTTTCAAACAAAAATCTCTATTATCTTCATCCGGATCTGCTACTTCGAGTACTTCTTCCTCTTCTAGCTCTTTGTAGCATGCTAGCCATTTTTTCGTATCCTTGCTCATTTTTGAAAGCTATAAGTAATAATTCACATAAAAAAAACAAAACATAATAAAAATAAACAAATAATAACCAAAAAAAGACTGATCCTCCGAGAAGAGGAAGGTTTGTTCTAATTAGGTTTTTTTAGAAATTGCTCATTATAATTTTGAAAACAAATATTTAATTTTTCAGCTAAGAAACTGCCCAAGAATGAACAAACAACAGGTCAAGGAGGCAGTGCCCAAGGTAGGCGGCTAGCAGAAGGCGATTCGGGGGCCAAGGCACCTGGAAACTGTTGCAAGTGATGGTATACGCCTGCAGGTCGAGTGTTGTTATTAAACCGTCACGAGAAAGGACTGGCAAGTGCAGCGGCACTCTAGTGATATCTATGTGTAATAAAGGTCCTTCTATTAACAAAAAAAAATTAATAAAAAATATATTTAACTTCATATACACTGTCACATATTCCATTTAGATGATGAAAAACAAAAGGAAGCATTTGGTCTCTAACGGTCATGTTGAGTTGTAATGTCTCGTGGGGCATTTAAATTTGTGATAATTGTACCTATATTTTGTTTTTTTATATATATAATTAATATATCTGACAGTGTAAGTTAAGCGTAAAGTGTTTATATCGATCGTATTAGCAGCACCAATTAAAAAAAATAAATAAAATTGAAAATCTTTTTTATTTTTTGTAATTTTATCTTTTTGGGGAAGTTTACAAAAATTAATGTTTTGTTGAAAACATTGCATTATAATAAAGTAATTTCACCCTTTACGAATTATTCTAAAAGGAGAGTCAATAATGTATCAACTGTCACCTAGAAGTTTGTTAACCGGCGAGAGTGGGGGGCAATTGCAGCTTGCGTATGCTATTTACTATAGCTTCATTGTGCCAATTCGATATCGATGCCCGTTAGAAAAACTGCCTTGAATACTTTCGACATATGAACAAAATTTATTTCAGCCTTATAAAGACGAACGAATTTATTCTTTTAAATTGTTCATCGTATAGTTTGACAGTTTCTAAATAAAAAACAGTAAATTCCGGATAAACACACGTATTGCTTCAAAACTTATTTTCGGTGGAATCTCAGTGATTTTCAGCCATCTTATGGATATAATCTACCACCATACTTTTTAGGTTTTGTACTCAAATCTTACACTTGGAACCTCTAAGTATAGTTATTTATCCCCACTGTTATTGTGTATTCTTTCTGACAATTCTCCATTTTCCTCTCTTTTCTCTCTCTTCCATTATTTTGATCTTTGTAATCAACTTTATTTGCAATATTGTTCTGTAAACCTATTGTTCTTCAGTGTCCATGCTTACGTTCCATGAAATACCACTCAGACGCAGCACCTTATTCGTCCATGTTCCTGCTACATATTAATTTTTTCGATTAACACGTTAACTGCCAGCATGCATTAAAGGGGTACTTACCTTGAGTCTTGTCATGAAAAGCATTTAACTTCATATTAACCTATGTAACTTTTCTATTACTATCGTGAAATTAATAGGATGGGTTTGGTGGAGTGAATGCCAGTGAAAGTAATTTACCCCTAATCCTCTTATTGTGTATTTCTTGCAAATCTTCTTTTTCTTTTCCATTACTTTAATCTTTGTAACTCAATTCATCAAGTTTATTTGTAATGTTTTTCTTCAGTGTGCATACTTACGCTCCTTGAAATAACACTCAAAAGACGCAACACCTTATTTGTCTTTTTTTTTCGAAAATTTGTAGATTAACACGTTCACTGCCAGCATATATTAAAATGATACTTACCTTGAGTCATAATATTAAAACCTATTTAATTCCATATATTAACCTCATCTAAATCTTCTATCCCTATAGCTCCTTAACAGTATGGGTTTTGTTGTGTGATTGCCAGTGAACGAGTTAAAGCATTTATTACCTGGTCTATTCTTTGTTTAACTTCTTTGGTATACTCATCTCTTGCATTATTTTTCCTAGATATTTACACTTTTAGATTTTTTTAATATTGCTCTCGATACATTGCGGAGCTTTTTTATAGTGCTTTTATTTTCACCATAAACTGCTTGTGCATATCCAGAGCGGTAAATGGTTTTCTTTGTTGACATAGAAATTTCTTATTTTTTTCCGTAATTTACCAATTATGGAAAAATTTAGTGGTGCTGATTTTCCAAAAACAATGAAAATTGGTGGGTAAAAGCCATTCAACACGTAGCAGATACTCACTGAATGAATACTGACCCTGCTGGTCGCAATAGTCCGGTAACTGAAGGCGAAAATGTGTAATTTCGCGCGCTTCATGATAATTCGCGTTTTCTGTACTGTATTTACGTCGCAAATTCTTTCGAGTATTATTTACGCCGAATATGTATTGACACATACACTGCGCTGCTTGACACCTCCTTCAGAATCTTTTTGGAAAAAATATGTATATTTGAAGAGCTTTTTGTACCCTTCCCCTAAAAAATAAATATTTTTTCACTTAGTGCAATTTTAATATTAGTCTCACCTTATTTCTAGAATACGGTCGGTCTAAATGTGTAATCTCAACTTCCAGCTTATACTTTGAAACCCAAGAAGTATAAACTGTAAGAATTTAACGTTATATGTATTTTATTAGGATAATGATTGTTGAAAGTATGTTTCCTAACATGTGTAAGCTACATTTCGTACTCTTTCCATTTTTATTACAAAAAAATGTTTATTTAGATAAACTGTTTCGGAACATACTTTCTCGATGCATGACTGAAAAGAACGTTAACATTTATACGTATTTGTTTTTATTTTGTGTCTGCTGTGACAACCCAGATCTTAGCGAAAGCATAGAGGACAAAAAGTGAACTTTTAAGTTTTCTATTGAACTTTTTCCGTCCTTAAATCAAATACAACAACTATATATTTATGTTTTCTAAGCATTTTTGCTAATATGGTCTCCTGTACTATTCCAGACATATATTCTTCATTTATTTTTATTATAAATTGTATACATAGTATATTTGGCTTACCATATCATTAAATCAAAGAATGACATCATTTATTCTAATTTTTTCTTAGATCCTAACCGTATTTGTTGCATATAGCAGTAAATTCAAGAAACGGAGATCGTCCACAGCCGTAGGCATGCAGACTCTTTGTTTTATGTGTAGAGTGTGGTTGAGAACGCATACCAAATTGAGAAGGAAGAAAGATTTATTTATTTTTTAACTCGATATTTTTTTTTTTAGAAATTTCTCTGTTGTAAACTTGTCCTGTAAATACCTCAGTTCCCAGAATAATTGGGAATAGTTCCCAAAGGTTGGCTGTATACTATAGTTTAGAAAAACTAGGACCGAAAACGTAAAAATTGTAATCTTTTTGGATATTTTCATTATTTTAGTCATTTTACAAATATACCAATTACACTAGAACTTTTTACTTAATTACAATTTTTTTGTCCAGAAAATCTTTCTGGTGTCATCTTGTTGGCTAGCACCCTTTAAATTACAAAACTATGAATTTATTGTTCAGAATAAATATATTTATTTATATTGCAGCGGGATAGATGCAACATAATCGCATGGCAGATTGAATATTATCGTCATCGTAATAGACATCGTTTGCTCATTACTGGTTTATTCATCAAGATCGTATGGTACTATATGACTTAAATTGTTCATGCATCAAGATCAAATATTTTTTTCTCTTCTTTTATGCGCCTGTTTGTGTTTTTAGCAACCATTTGCTTCTTATGACCTATTTAGTTGGACGCCAGCGTTCAAATTTCGCTTATATGTCCTCTATGTTTTCGAATTTTGCAAATAGACGATATGTCATGTGTCAAAACAGCGACTCGATGACATTTAGAACTAAATAAAGTTGTTCCGAATGTCGCCGAGGTGTGATCGTCCTATTTTCAATTTTACATTGGTATATTAAATTCAGTAGAGGTACAGTGTAGAGAGGTGGTTGTACAGAAGAAAATTAAACGGGATATAAACTAATTGTATCTCCTACGGTAATTGCATTGTATACTGTTAATTTTATAAATGTTGTTTCTAGTTTAAAACCAGCTGTAACTTACTGTATCTCTGTTTGATTGAAGTGAATATTGTTAATTAATAAGGCAATAAACGCGTAATTTTCTAGAAATAATTGTGAATGGGGAAGAAGTTTATAAAACTGTAATTCGTATAATTTTGTTGATAAGATAAGGGTAGAATTTGTCAATTTTAATAAATTTATGAATGTATTCGTACTAAAATAAAAAAAACATACCTTATTTTATTCAAATTTGCGGCCCAATGGCTCTTATAGACGATAATATTAGTGTCACATAGGTGTCTGGTGTAATTTCTTCTGGATATTTACACGTATACACATAGGCACAGATGATCCGCAGTAAGAGATTTTTTTATTCAAGCGAAGAACTAAATAAGACTAAAAGGCTCTAAAATACCGTCTTTAATGTCGCTGCCAAGGTTTTTGCAAATCGAGGCGTCAGTAGTTGGGGCAGAGTGACACTCGCAGCGCTGCTGTCGGGACGTTTCGTTCCATGACTGTCTCAACGAATCTTAGCACCAATAATATCATAATATCAGTTAATAAAAACTATTTTGTTGATATAAATAAGATATTGACACACATATACATTATGTCGTTACAAATAGCGGATGTTACATCAACAATATTTTGCTATGAGAAATTAAATAGATAAAAGTCGGTATGCCTAGACATCCAAGTTGTTATTGTCGTCAATGTCTTTATAAAAACAAATCAATGGAGAGGTCTTATAATCACTATTAAACGCTTTTTGATAACACACAATGCGACATCGATGCGTGCAGTAGTTGTGGTAGAATGACAGTTTATTGATACTTCACTATCAAATGACATCAAATTAATAGTTGATAATGAAACATAAAAAGTTTTTTTGGTTTTAAATTGGTAACAACTCGTTATAGATTAATTCTTGTAGTGTGATAGAATATTTGTCTATTGCCGATGTTTTTTAAAATAAGGGATAATTCTCATGAGGATGTCCGTTTATCTTTGTATTATAATTGAATATAATATTAATTTTATTATTTGCTTGCTTATCATCTATGGTTATAATTATTCTGTTTGCACAGAATCAGATTGTACAGGAAAAGTAAAACATACTCAATAAAGTTATGACATATAATTTACTATTGATGTTTTAGTATCCTTACTCTATTTTTTATCCCAATTGTTTCCTTTTACGCAGTAGCGCACCTAGAATTTTCCTCGTGGGGGGAGTTTTGGTTGGGCACCGAAATTTTTTTATGCTACCCCCTCCCATTTTAAGTACTTAAAATTTGTGAATAACAGTGTCGGAATAGGGTTCGGAGGGGGGGGGGAGTTTAACCCCCAAACCTCCCCCCTGGGTGCGCCACTGCTTTTACGTCAAGTATTC